AATATCAATAAAAATTCATAAATCCAGTGGTTCAAGGTCGATTTGAGATATGCAATTTTTATTTATTTCGAAGTTCCGACTTTAACACCCGACCCGACCGAAAAATTGTATACACCATTGAAGTAAGCGGAAAACGGTATGGTGCCCATATTTATACTCTGTTTTAGGAATTTAGGGGTTATATACAATTAGAAGTCCGAAAAAAAGTAAATTTTCCAGAAGTTTTTCAGAGAAAACTTTTACATATATTGATGCAAAAATTTATACACATATTATGGTATCTTTTAGCTATATATTAAGACTTAGTATTAGTAAAAATATTTATTTGGAAGAGAGCTACAGCTGATCTGCGGGAGCTCTTCTCAAAAAAGACGTTTTACGGTGACCACTATATCGCTGAACTGGATCGTCTGAAATTAAAAAGCCATACAGCATAATGTTAAATCTAGTAATTAATCAAAGCAATAAGCAAAACAAAATTTGTTTGACAAAAAAACTGTTTCTGATAAAAAAAAATCGATTTACACCGAAATTTCGGCTTTAAATTGTTTAAGAAGAAAAAAATATTTATCGGAGAGAAAAGATCATAGATTAATTACTAAAAAATATATTTTAGAAGCTGGTGTTAAAATTTGAGTCTAATCGGTTTAGCCGTTTTCTAGTAATGTTGGTCACCGACTTTGAAAACACTATTCTGAGAAAAACGCGTTTAAAATTTGGAGTGCACTTTACATGGGATAAAAAACTCTGAAACACCTTTTCAAACTTGCGTGTAACTTCGAAAATATTCACCGGAACGATATGAAATTTTCTGTGTATATTCTTGAATATATGTATATTAAGAAAATACATTTTAAAAAAAATCGATTTTTTGAAAATTCTAGCTGTATGAAACCCCTTTATACACTATGAGTAATAAATATGTTTTCAATAAGCTCAATTTCGAAATTGGAACGCAAATATTTCGGTTTTGGAGACTAACTTCGAAAAACTTAATACCGCCTCATAATAATGTAAATTTCAGTACAGCTAACATTTGCGACTTCACCATTCATTAACATTCTCTGGTACAATGCTACGGCCAGTTTATTTTTAATTTGAAGATTTGTGATTCCTTATTGAGACGCGAGCCCATTTACTGATTTCATACTTTACCAATTCGCGCTAAGGCATAAATATATATATGTTATATATATATATATGCATATTATATTTCCACTTATACAGCGTTACCTACTTTTATCAAAGCGTGTATTAAATATGCTGCAAAATTTCCGTTAAACCAAATAACTTTCCACCGAAAACATAAGATAACGCGACTTTACTCGAATAGTCCTTACAGCACCGCGTGTCTCCATATATCACATGTTTAGAGTACTTACGAAGGCATGGGTGGCCACAAATCATTGGCCCACCGTAAAGTGGCAATTGTGTGGTGGCAGCGGCTTAAAGGTGTCAGACTGTGCGAAAGGTTACCAACGTCAATGCGCACACAAACCCAAGCTTTGATGACGACAATGACATTATAGAGAAAAGTACAACAGCAAGCTAAGGAAATCGCTTGCCATAGACTATCGAAATGCTGCCAAGCGACTGTCGCCATTACCAGCTATGTTTTACCAACATGTATTCAACCGAAAGACACTGACAGCAAACTCATATAAAAGAAGGAAGGAAGCTGTAAGTGCGGGCGCAACCGAATATTTGAAAAAATATTGCATTTAAAATAAATATTGTAGTATTCGTTAACAGGCAATAATCAGCATAATCGTTACATAATCGTTACATGAGTGGTCGATATGGTTATTACTCTCTAACTTTAAAAAGTATAGTATAAATAGGCAAAATGACTCTTAGGCAAAATGACTCTACTAATCTTTGTTGATATCGTTTAGTATTAAAATATCAATGCAATGTATAACTCGCGTCTTTAAACAAAAAACAGCCGCATCAGAGAACCGAAAAACATATTCGTATACCTATACCAAGTTTTCTAAAAATAACTAAATTTTTACCGAAGTTCATTTGGGCTTTTCTATATATAGCGCTATATCTATCTCATTTCGTTTCAGTTGTTAGAAACAACCATTAAATGAAAAACCCCAGTATACTCTGAACAAGTTGTTATGAGTGTATGAAAATTACAAAGAGTATTGCGTATTGCATAAAAGCATTTTATTTGAAGCAACGATGTTTGTGGCGATCGCGCCGAATTTTATGGCCACTACGCGCAAAAACGTTAAAATGATAAATGGTCGAACGTTGCCAGCTCGAAGTTGTCGATATTTTTTCGCTGCTCTTGCATGTGTCACCTTGTGTGTGTGTGTGTGTGTGTGTGTTCATTATTAATATTAGCTTTGAGTGCATTCTAAACGCTCTGCTTCAGCTGCCAATGCGGCACTTATTGTCTGCCTTACCTCTAGAGGATGGAGAGCCTAATGCACAACTCCGCTGTGGACATATTGGCAGTGATGCGTGGCGGCGCGTCGAAAGCATTAGATGCACAATTTGTTTAGAGAGGCGCTCGAAGCGCCACCTCGATGGTGGCTGCCTGACACCAGTAAACGCCAATTGGAGACCTGTTCTGGCGAACTGACGCTGGCGGCCAAGCCAAAACAGTGCTGCCGCTGTAATGTCTTGGGGCTACCTACGTATATCTATCGATTCACAGGTTTTCGTGTTAATTGAAAATTGCTCGCTAATGTTGCTTATCTGCTTATCGCTGGCCATATACAGTTGCACGCAATGTTACACGAACAACAACATGGTTTGCGTTGGTAACTATGATGGACACAATTTAAAAACAAAAAGCGACGGCAGCAAAACACTAAGCTGCTATTTCAATGGCCCAACAATATTCCTCGAACTGCTATCGCATACTATGCCGGCCAAGCTCTGTGTCTATACCACTCCTATGGCCAAATCAATTATCAAGAAGTACATAAGTACGTACGTGTATGTTCTTTTAAAAATCTATGCATGCACGTACAAGTGCATATGTATATGTGTGTGTGCCACAACTTCTTATTTTATTATTTATTATTTTCGTTGACAATATTCCAGCTTGAAACGCACTTAAAATTATCAACAATAAACAATTCTCTATGTGTTTTTGATGCCACTACACAACGATAATTTTCGTTGCGTGTTTATACTTGGGTGTTATACGGCTTTCAGTCTATGTATTTATCAGCTGACCATTGCTCAAAAAGTTTTTGTACGCATGATTGATACGACTTGTTCAACATGGGTTTACAAAAAAGTATTACAATCTTGCATAATTGTAAAAAGTAAAATTCCCAACATTGAAGTTTGTCTATTTACTACATGGCGATTACTCAAACAGATTGTACCCACACTCTGCATATTCATTACTAAAAAAAACATAATATAATAAATTCAGAAATTTTTTAATTTCTGCGCAGAAATGACTTATACTTGTAAGAAAACATTTAGCTTGAAACTCCATAGTAGACGCTTGATGTGTCAGCAACGCTTTTTATTTGTTGTTTACATATGGTAGCATAGCGTACGCAAGCATGATTGCAGTCTTCGGTACATCGGGTGACGCTCTTTAAGCTTCAGAACTTCAAGCGCAAAAACTCAACTCGACATTCAACTGGGTCGATTTTAATTTGCTTAAATGAAATACTCATTTAAATTTTATTGACAAACAAATTGAATTGATTGATTTAAATGAATTTATGTGCGCGCAGCCATGAGTAAACCGCGTTGACTGCTATTCCAGTCAACGCCGAGAGAGAAACTCTGAGCAGTTACGTACAAGTAGCTAAGTACGTTTGTCTACTATCGCATAAAAAATATGACTGCTGGTTTAGCAAAGCCACATGATTTTGTTAGGGTTCACGCCAAATGATAGAATAAAGGCCAAATCAGCGACGCGAACAAATCCAATAGATCTCAACAAAAATTTGTATGTATGTGTATGTTTACATAAACATATATATGTAGGTATATACATGCATATGTAAATGTCGCTGGGCGCAGCTCGGTCGGCTCAGCAAAGCGTATATTTTCTTCTCAAATCATTTTAAATGTGTGCCTGTTTGCAAGTGCAGCTCAGTTTTGCTGTGCGAAAAATTAAACTTTACTTAAATATTTCAGTCGCGTGCAACAAAGGCAAGATTTCTTACTATAGCTTAAAAGCCAACAGCCACTGACTTTTAGCACATCCATGTGCCTGTTTGTATGCAACACTTGCATTATTTGTCCAATTAGGCATAGTCTTAAGCTTTTGGACTCGAGGTCGGTGGGGCGCACGTACATAAATAGAAACTGCGACAAATCAGAGTCAAATTGTTTTCATTTGCATTAGGTTCGGTTGCGCCATCAGTTCTTATTCCTTTGCCTTGATGTCAGCGAGCAAGTGACTCGCGCTAAATGTTGCCGTTAGCTGAAGCAATAAATTAGCGCAACTGCTTTGCCAATCGTTCAGCACAGGCCCTTCCATATGCACATATGGAATTTTCAAGTTTGATGTTTGTGAATGTTAAAAAAGAGCAAAAAACAAACAAATGATGTACAATATGTAGTGTGGAATTTGTGAAGAGGTGTCCGTGATGAATATCGAATAAGATTTTTTAATTAGCCATTGAGTAAACTTCGGACATTTATGGTTATTCAAGTGATATTTAAAATCAACCAACGGCATTTCTGGCTGGCTTATGGCCAAATGGCCGTTCGCATCTGGCAGGTCGCACTGTCTTCAGCGCCATAATATGTGATAATGAGGCATGGCAAGCAATATCCATTCGTAGCCGGCGTCAAAGAAGAGAGTTGTTTTGTGCTAGGACTAAAACAAAGGTGGACCATCTTACGCCCCGTTCGTCATGAATGAATTTTCAGAGTTTTGTCTGTTTGTTAACAACGTCATTGTCATTGTCGCTATTGTATCATAGTTTATTTATTTATGTATTTGTTCATTTAGTTTCGCGTGTTTCTTCCTTTTAAAGTTCCATTAGTTAAATTTGTAACTTGTATCTGGTGTTTGAACACTAATTTCAAGCTTTAATTTTCACAATAGCATGTTTTACAACTTCACGGTATTTCACTGCTTATTACTCTATTAATGTATGGCAGAAAGCTTGAGACTCTTGTGTAAACATCAGGCCGACCCTGGGCGCAAGTTGCGGTGCCATACGAAACAATCCCGACCAGTTGTGGTGTACCGTTTGATATTGTGAGTGGACCACCGGAGTCACCCTGAAAACATGAGGATATGAGAACGAACGCAAGTAAAATATATTATATATTATTAGAAAAGAAAAGTATTTAGAAAATTGAAATTATGTGTTTATAGTTCGGCAACTACATAGTTGCATGGATCTGAACAAAATATTTTATGGGAAGTAGCAGTGAATAGCGTCAGGGCCGGAAGAGCCGCTTATAATGGTTCAGAGGTTTGTCACTGCACGCCGACGGACGCACGATATATGTACATACATATATTTAGGAAATATTTTATATTTTTGAAAAAAATTATAAATGTTGTTTACTCTTCTATAATATTATTTCCACGAACAAGCTTGATGAATTGTTTCTTGTAACATATCGACAAAATAACAAATTTACCACAAGTACACCTTTAAAATATTAACTTTTGAGAAAAAACCACAATACTATTATTTCGAGAGCTACTTACCACACAAGCGCCGTGACCTCTTTCGCCAAGGGCACACAACTCATTGGCTGTTATGCGAAATCCACTTTGCGCACATTCCTTGTTGGATATGGTTTGATAATCTAACATTTGCAATCGTTCTGGCAAGCCGCTCGATCCCGTAGGCGTAAGGGAGCCCCAGCCTGTCAAACGCACTGCCACATTCTCACCGACACGTGCTCGGCTACCCAGCGAAATTATGCTTATTGACGTTCTGGCCAAATTGAATGACGGAGTTACCTTTAACACTGCAATGTCGTTAATAATTAATGAACTCGATGAGAAACCCGGGTGGGAGCGCATAGCTACAACGCCGTGTCGATCGCCACCATAGCGCCATGTCAATGTACCGGCAACAACACTAATCTCATTCGGATTCATCTTCGTGACGCAATGAGCGGCGGTAAGAACGTGCTGAGGGCTGATAATGGAACCACTACAAAAGTGGTGATACCGACCACGTCGTAGTACCTGCAACGATACCTGGTACGGTACGATTAGTTCTACAGGCCGGCCGCCATTTATACGATTTACAGAGTCAGTGTCCAGCTCATTGGCGGAGTTTTCCAACTCACAGTTAGCAATTTCCTCCGAAGTTAGTATTGTAAAATTTGATTTTTCTATAAAAGAAGCATTGCCCAAGGCAATGAAGATTAATATATTGTACACCGTTAATTTAAGCATGCTGCAAGTGAGTAAGTATGCAATGTGCGAAAGCGAATAAGCAAATTGGGGCATACTAGTAGCTATTTATAAACTTAAGGAAAATTGAAATATCATTATTATTTTCTTAACGATTATGTCGTCTCACAATCTCATATAAATAAAAAACCATGGTATGTGACACAATTGGCTTTTATTTATTTAATTTACTCTTTTATCGAGTTAAACAGTATGGTTTTATTTGCAACTGGTCCTCAGTGCTGGCCATGCGTTCATTCTCCAATTAGTTTATCAGGTACCTGTTTGGTGGAAATTGGCAAAATGTAGTATTTGCCCAGAAAACAGAGCCTACACAGACTCATTTATTTCAATGTCTCATTTGTTTACAAGTAAGTAAGTTACCAAGTTACCATAAACCTTAATACAGTCGTACACAAGCATGCGACGCAGTAGGACATAAATTATGGCTGACGTAAATTCGATGTCATACAGTGCGCGCAATTGGTCATGGAGCTGCTTTAAAGCAGCTAAGTTCTAAGATAGTTTCGAACTACTGTGGAAGCAAGTTAAGAAATATGCTTATTTTGAAGAATCTTCTTAAATGTTCTGACAAATTAAAATTTATGCATTTGTTTAAAATAAATAAATAAGAGCATATATAATGCATAGTTCAATTGGGTTTAGAAAAATGCATTCGATAATTAATAAAGCATAATGTGAACTGCTTAAGCCATTTTCGCCACACAACCCTATAGGCAATGCGATTTTCGAATGACTCGTTAAAGCCGTCTTTTGACTCTTCATTTTCCACTGTTTGCCCTTAATATGATAAAAGCTGTATGTGTACACAGCGTGAGTGCGGAGACTCTTGTTAATCCATAGATTTTGTTTTCACATTATTTATAGGTCGCGTGTGCTTGTTACTTAATTGATGACAACAGGTAGGCGCTTCTGCTGTCACAAAACAAATTGCAACATGACAATTTTCTCTTACAATTATATAAATAGCTAGTTGATAATGCTGCTGTTGCCAATAAATATTGTGCAACATGTTAATGCGTTACAAGTGTTGCGCTTACATTTATTTTCAGTACATCATACTCGAAAATTCTGTGCGCCTGCCAAATTTACAATTTGTTCGTCTATCCAGTTAAACAAGCGAAACAAACTTGTATAGACATAGATATGATTTCTCTTACAAAAAGTTTTTCCATACGATAAAATTCCAATTTGTTTGGTAAGATTTGCGGTAAGTAGTGCACCACCAGAATCCCCCTAAATTATGAAATAACTTAATATAATGCTCAATATTTCGAATTCGTACATACATCGCAAGCACCACGTCCCGTGGCGCTGTAAGCGCAAAAATCAGTGCGTGTTATATAAGTAAAGCCAAACCAACGACACTCATGAGATTGGATTGTTTTGAATGCAACAATTTCCATAAATCCCGTTGTTTGGCCCCAACTAATTAGATATGTTTCCAGGCTGTCTTCCACATTACCGCCGGTTCGATAATCCACCGTATCAAAATGCACACCATCAATAGGCAACGGCAAAGTTAGAATAACCAGAGCGATATCATAACCTTGTAGCGGTACAAAAGCCTTGTGCGCAATGACTTGTGCCACGTGGTAACGTTGTGCCGCTTCCAATGTGAACTTTTGTACACCGGCCATCACTCTTAGATGTTTCGTTGGATGTCTTTGAAAGAAGCAGTGCGCTGCGGTCAAGATGACTTGCTCGTGAATGATGCTGCCGCCACATAGATGATGGTACCGCCTACCGAGTTTAACTTGTATAGAGACATGAAAAGGAACTGCAAACGGCAGATATCCGTTCATAGTCCCGTTGGCTTCTCTCAGCTGGTTGACCGCTATTATTTGCAAAAATGATCAGCAGAATTTCTATATTTTATAAATATATATGTATCTATGCTTATGGTGTATATGTTGTACCTTTAAGGAAATTACGATTTTCACTGATTAGTGCTACTAGCAACATTGGCAGGGTGCCTATGGCGAATATAACTAAAGGCTGCATTCCCTTTTGTGTACCCTATTTTTAGACCTTTAAACTCATACTGATTAGCAATAAGCCTAGCTAAAACGATTCAAGTCAAAACATTTATGATAATCGCAATTTTACAGAATTATACAACCACATTGCATCAGCTTACAGGGTACTGCCAACTAATTGTTGCCAGCAATATCAAACAACGTGTACTGCACTGATTATCAACGAATAGCCTGACTTTGTTAAAGGGGGGTTATTTTCTTTTTTAATATATCGCATAACCTATACTAAGATTAAATTATATCCTTTAAAAGGCTGATTTTAAGTTTTAACAAAGTCTCTGCTGGCATTCATTAACTTTTACCACTTTGTATTAGCAAGCAAGCACCGTAACACCACAAAGCGACGGGCAACCTCAAGCATTGTGCAAAGGATTAGCTGTTTGTTGACAACATAAAGACTTGAGCAAACAAATGAGTTGCTGAAAGCCTACCAACAAGTTCACGCCACATCTGTGTGGTACATATGTAAGTATGTATGTGCATGCACAAAGCTATGCAGTTCGAAGAATATAAACACAAAAGCGGTAAGCCGGAACGTACAAGAGAAATCAACGCTGTGAATGTGTGTGTGCCTCTTTGTAGCTACGGTTAATAATTTTTTATATGCATGAATTTAGTGTATAATACATACATACATATATACGGCCCAGTTACATATCTAGGATTAACGGATATGTCAACTTATGATTAAACGCCTTAAAGGTTTATAGTTAAAGTATAAAATACACAGTGGACATTTAATAAAGACGCGAGCTATGTATATATACTTATATATATATATGCACACATATGCATCCTTTGGTCAGCGTTTGATATTATGTATTATTTTTTGGAAACATGAGAAATATTCATGTTAAACAAGAAAAAACGTTAAACGAAGCTAAAATACCCTTCACAAAGGTTCCTTACAAGCACTTGATTCCGATTGTTCAGTTTCTTCTTCCTTCTAGGTGTTACAAACTTCGTGGCAACTTAATATACCCTGTTCAGCGTATAATGACTACCCTGAAGTAACATTGACGAGATTTAACATTTTAATGCGTGAAATAGTGATTGAAATTATACTTAACACCCAATTAACTTACCGTTTAAAGCAATTTTGGCATCAAACCGTCTTGTGTTCAAAAACAGAGTTGCCTAATTTCATTAAGATATCTAGTAGGTGTATTGACCGATTTTACTAACCTTCTTTAGTATCAATTATAAAAAATAATAGCAAATAATTTTCATCCCGCTCTTAATTTGTTTCAGTACATCCACATACACTTTGCAACGGCTCTACATGTAATTTGTGCAGAGCAATGAGCAGAGGTGAGTAGTAGGTGTGAAGTATTTCCGACATGAGTCAATTTAGCTTATTTCCGATCGTGTAGACAGATTTGTGTAATGTCTTCACAGAAAGCTGGTTTACACATAGGACTTGCTCTGCAGCAGCATTTCGTTTGTATGTGTATCATCAGCAACAATTTTTGATGCATATGCAAATTAGTTGAATTTCATTAAATCACTGTTGTTAATACATACGAATACGTGTGGTCCAATTAAGTGGGAAATCATTAAGAATCATGACACTGACCTGTGGCGCGTAGCGAACGAATGAGTAAACAAACAAAACGAAAACTTTTGCAATACAAATTCATTCTAAATAAAGCCATTGAGCCTTTCCTTATCTCTGTCTGCGCCTGCGCCAGTGATATCATGTCTTGGCATACGCCGACAGCGGGATGCAACATCCGACCCGTCAATAAGAGTATAATCAACTGGACGGGTGGGCAGGCCATACTAACAATTAACACAACAGTGCAGAGATCAAGACCCATTCTCAGTATGGGCAAAAGAACTTAAGAGAAGGTGGTAGTAAAGCTTAAAAACCAACAAAGGTGTGCATAATTAATTCGATTAAATACACGCAAACGTTCCTAAAGCTCACTATAAAACAGTAGCAATAATTGGATTATTCAATTGGCAATCGCAATTCTCTAGAAGAAACACAATAAGAATGATTCATTAACAAGTGTAGCTAATGTTGTATGCAGCAGGGGCACTCATCAAGCCCACGCAAGATTTCACGAAAGAGCCATCGCGAAAAGCAGTGCAGTGCGAGGTAGAAGAGGCAGAAGAGGACATTTAGTATTCAATAACATTCTCCCAATTCCTCCTCCTCCTCACAATTGATCACTGAGTAAAGTATGCTGAACCTATCTGTTGACTTCGGTGGTATCCTTTGGTGGCAAAACAAAAATGAATGAATCAGTCATCTACGCAAATGGCTGCGAACTAAGTTAGTTGGTGATCTATATAATCGACACTCCTGGCTTCGCTTGGCTTGGCAGCAAACTGTTTGTTCGGCTCACTTCAAGTCTGAAATTACAATATTTAAATTTTTTCACAGATAAAAACTGTCATGTTGCTGAATTGGCCAACAGAGAACAGACCGAATCCATGTCCAAAACCATTGCCACCGACATTGCAGCGATCTGTGTGAATGCATTTGCAAAAAAACATACTATTGGAGTATTGGGCGCGTGAGTTGATAGGGCAACGAAAATTTTCATGATAGGAGATACGAGTAGGTGTTATTCCTCAGAATTTTTGCAATTGAAATACCACACGAAATTGATCAATTTGCAGAATTAAACTCCCATTGAATATACATACATATGTACAATATGTCCTCACAATGTGTGGCGAACATCCTTACATATATTATATAATAATTTCATTTTAAATGCCACATAAAATCAAGCGAATTCTGACTATAGCTAAATTTTTACGGAAATATCAGTTACTAACTGAAACTGTAAAATACGTACATACGAGTATATTATTGAAATTCAGATAACTCATATACGAATTTCCAACTTATGGTTGACTTTATATCGTTTAATCGGTCAACATGTGAGTTATCTTAATGAAATTTAACAGAAATACTATGCGATGATATCATAATTGAATAAAATAGGATCAATACTATCCCAAGCCTTTATGGTGTATCTTGAAAAAATTAACTGAACGAAAAAATGACGAAAATGTTTAAAATGGGTGCACGAATCACATCATCACCCCGTGCACAACATAACTATAATAATCAGTATATGAATTATCTTCATAAAATTCCGTGAAAACATGTTCTTGAGTGTTGACAAAAGTCGATGCAATCAGTCCAGACCTTCCTCTAGATTTAGTATACCCGAAATAATGATTTACGACTTTACACCTCACTTTGTACCATTTATGTTGTCATAATGTGTGATATTTTACTGCAATAAAGATAATACAGGTTGGTTGAAAAGTATTGGCGCTCGAAATGAAAAAATACAGTTTTTGTTAAGAAATATATTTTTTTTATTCAATATAATCTGCCTTAACTTCAATATGCTTTTTTCAATGATCCTCCAATAATTTTATGCCATACCTATGATATTGTACTTTCCGGAAGCTTGGCAAAATACCCATCTATGGTTTTAATAGCTTTTTCATTCGACGAAAAACGCTTTCCACAAAGGAATTGTTTCAGGTTTCTGAAGACAAAATAGTCGCTGGGAGCTAAATCTGGGAAATACGGTGGATGCTCAAGCAATTCGTACTTTAAATCGTTGTATTTAGTCATTGTTACAACAGCTTTGTGAGCAGGTGCATTGTCTTAATGAAAAATTATTTTTTGTGCTGTAAACCAGATCTTTTCTCACGAATTTTTTCATCCAGCTAATCTAAATGGATGCAATAGTTTTCAGAGTTAATTGTTTTACTTTTCTGCTTCAAATCGAACAGCAAAATTCCTTTTGCATCCCAAAAAAACTGATGACATAACCTTCTTTGCTGATCGTTGTGACTTCATCTGCTTTGGAGCTGAACAACCAGCTTCACTCCACTGTAAACGTTCTTTATTTCAATTTTTTGTCGAATTGTTAACGTATGCGGCACTAACAAACCAAACAGCTTTCTCCTATGTAATTCTGCATTTAAAATATGAAGTACTCGTTCTTCTGAAATGCCTATGGCAGTGGCAATTTCACGCTTAGTCCAACTTGCATCTTAACTAAAAATATTATGAGCTTGCTCAATGATTTCTGGTGTGTTTGCGGTCGTCGTCAAACCTAATACGACCACATTTAAATTCACCAGCCCAAAATTCGACGGTGCGTTTGGAAGGTGAGGACTCCTGATACACTTCAAAAAATTGTTCATAAATTTCTGTTGCTTTTAAACCTTTCAAAACAAAAAATCCAATCGCTACGCGATATTAAATTTTTTCCATATTAAAAAAATACTCTGACACGTCAACTTTAAATGGTTTGTAAACAAAGAATTGATTGACAGAATGACTTGTAACTTTGCATGTTTTCTCATGACAGATGTACCAACTAGAGAAAAAAAAATTTGAGCTAGTAGTGCTCTTTCTTGGTGAGATCAACCAACTTTTCAACCAACCTGTATATTTTAAAGCATAATAAAGCTGACTATGAATGAAATCGATCTAGACTTCGGTCTTAACCTCATAAAACTAAGTTAATAGTTTCCAATCCTCTGGTTGACTTTTTCCTTATATACTCAACATATTAAATTTAGAACGTTTGGTTGATTTTATTACATACTTATATGTAAATCTCATTTGTGTTAATTACAATAAGTTCATGGTAATAGTAATGAAACTAAGTGAGTCGGTGACCTATAGTATGAGTTAATAAGATGCCAAATATGGTCGTAACTCACACAGGTGTCGTCGCATGATGAATGTTGAATGAGAGCATCAAATTCGCGGTTACAACCGAATATAGCCCCTCCGTTTTTGAATACATATATCAAATTTATCTTGGTTATTACAATTTGTAATTTATAATGTTTGTCAAATACAGTTTAGAGTTTTTGGCTTTATCATGCAGCAGATTGTCTTGGCATTTATTCCAAAATGAATAATTTCTATAAATTTAGTACAAAACTTAATTCAGAAATTTAAATAAACCGTTTCAAAACGTAATGTGTAGTGTACTGTAATGTAACATCCGGTCACTATATGAAGTGTACAAACTCAATTTAATAAATTGTTTACAATTATTTTGTAAATAATTTTCCACCAAATATTGGAAAACTGAAAAAGTTTCGAAAGGCAAAGTTGTGAATTGTTGTGTGATAAAATCGTATACTTAACATACACGTATATGATGATATGGCAGTATTTATGTGCGATGTGCGGGTGCAAAAACCCATTGAATACATAATGTACAATGTGGAAGAAGTTCTTACTGTTTGTTATTGAAAGGCGCTGTTGGCCAGCACCCAGCTTGATATCGCACACAACATGTGGTCCGTCGCAGTTTAAAGGCCACAACACTTAACTATAACTCTGCTCCAACACGTTCAGTATGATTGCAACAGTTGCCTGTTTTTTAACGCTGTTGGAATCTCCATATCCAATCGCAAAGGCCATGCCTTTTGTTGTTGCCGCCGCGGAGTGTCATCTCAAATGTTAGTATTTGTTTATAACACAAGTATATGTACGTAGATTTCTTTAACCTTTCACATCTTTTACTTACCTATGCATTTATATAATTTATATGTGCCATACATACATATATGTATGTATAGTGTAAATTAAGTCAACTGCGATCTTCAAAGCTCGAAATGGTTAAATAAAACAATGTTAATTAATTTATTATGTCCTAGCTTTGGTTTATTACTTAAATACATATAGTAAATACCCTTAAGATGATTGAAAATGCTGCACTCACTACAAGCTCAGTTTAGACTTTTTTACTAGTAAGCACTATTGGTCTAACTTAGTTACAGGGAAAATTCAAAATAACACTGTGGCATGTCCTCAATGCAGATTATGTGTATAATTTAGAAATAGACAAACTAGACAGTTATTAACGAATGTAGGCTATATATATGATTTACACCAGGTTGCTTGGATCTGTTGGAAAATTTATGTATTTTCACTCGCTTGTATTGAAATTTTTGACAGTTAATATCAAAAAGAGTCCATACTCTCTAAAAAAATAGCTGTTAGCCGTTAATAAGATTCTGTCGTTTAGCAGTCACACAACCAACTTTAACTTTTAAAAAACAGATATCGGTGATATTAATAACGCTAAAAGCCCTGAAATATGCCAAACCTTTAACAAAATGAACTCATAAAATTCTTTTATTTTCCTATTTCACATATACAAATTAAAACTTATGTAAATTCGTTACCGCCTACTGCTCGCGATTAAAAATTAACAAAGGTTACCTACTGGGTGCCTTGGAAATTTCAGTATATAAACGTTATATGAATTTGACAAGTGACACTACATCGGAACTAGCATTCTAAAAACCACAGAGAAATGAGAACAGAGATAATAACCATTTTATTTATATACTGCTTACTGGGAACTGGCTTCACTAGTCCAAGGCGCTCCAATGGAACCATTATAGATCGTAAGTACAATACAATACTTTTTAAAGGGTTTGTGAGCACAGTGTAATGCATACATATATGAATGTATGAACACAATTTTTTCAATCATTAACCATAAAGTTGATGATTACTTCGCAACACATGATTTCGATTCACAAGAGCGTGTAGTTGGCGGTGCCGCAGTACCCGAAGGCGAGTACATTCCTTATCAGGTATCCATGCAGTATAGGACACGAAGTGGCAAAGATAGACACTTTTGTGGCGGATCCATAATTGCTGCCAATCGCATACTAACCGCAGCCCATTGTGTCAATGGTCAGGATGCAAAGCGAATCTCAGTTGTGGCAGGTATACGTGATCTTAATGACAGCACTGGAATTCGTTCACAGGTCTTGTCCTACGAAATCCATGAGAACTATGAAGAATTGGTTACCAGTGATATAGCCATCTTAAAAATCGAGCCAGCATTTGTGTTGGATGGCGCCAAAGTGAAACAAGTGGATGTGAGTGGTAGTGACAAAATCGATGGTGGTCAGGCTGTAACCCTCTCTGGCTGGGGTGCTATGTGGCATGTGGGCCAAGGTCCATTGGCGGTTTACCCGACATTGCTGCAACGAATGTCCTATAAAACAATCAGCAACGAACAATGCAAAAAAGTTATGACACAGTTAACCGATACGGAGATCTGCGCATTGGAGCGCTTCGGCAAAGGAGCATGTAATGTATGAATAAGTTTAATACTGAATTTGAGCAGTGATAATTCTTAATTGCTAAATGCGTGTAAATCAAATTTTCAGGGTGATTCAGGTGGTCCCCTGGTTATGGATAATGGTGGAAGCTTGAAACAGGTTGGAGTCGTTTCCTATGGCACTGCATTATGTGCCTCCAATAGTCCCGATGTTTACACACGCGTATCCATGTTCGACGACTGGATCAAAGCGCGCTTAGCTTAAGAAAAAATCACCCATATACCTATGTATGTACAAGTATTGCGTAATTTGCGAGAGCAGCGTTTGATATGACATTGTAATAAGAATTTAATTAATGTAAACAACAATTATAAGGCTTAAATTGGTCTCGTCTTTAATTGCACAGTAAAATGGTGGCAAATTAAAAAAAAAAAAATTTACAAACTCTTTCATTTATCACGCACAATGTTGTTGGTTATGTATAGCTGCAAATCTGTAAGGTTTGTAATCTTGCAATGGCTGCTGTTTTCACTACAGGGTGTATCTACCTATGCAAATAAACACACACGCACATTTTTGCAAATGTGTTTAATTATGTATTAACTTATATTTTCAACTAAATTTCTTGCTCGTCTAATATATGCATGTACTCGTACATATATACCGTCGCTTGTCGAAGTCATCAAGCGTCATGCATTTCAAGTGCAGCTCTAATTCTCTCACCTAACAGATAGCTATGCTAATGGCACTGGTGTTTGTTGGAGGTCGCGACGACTACTGGTAGGCCTGATTATACGTGACGTGACTAATTGCAGTGCGTATTCACTATGTGTTTGTGAATATGTTGAATATCGTGCAACTATAAATAGATCAGTGACGGTTTAATACAAATTTATTAAAATACGAAATGTTAATGGCATAACAGTATAATCTAAAATAACTACAGTTAATAAATTATGGAATTGTTTAAAGGATTTAAAGTTACACATTTTCTAGTTCTGTTTCTGTTTTTAGCTGTGACGTGCACCAGCACGGATTCGTCGCGAATTGTTGGTGGTCACGATGTGTCTCCTGGCGAATATGTTCCCTATCAGGTATCGCTACAGTATTTTACAAGAAAAAAGAAGTACCAACACTTCTGCGGTGGTTCAATAATAACACCTAATCGCATTCTAACAGCCGCTCATTGTTGCAAAGATTTCGATGTGAAATTAATGACGGTGCTGGCTGGGGTGCGCGATCTTAATGACTCAGAAGGTGTACGTGTACAAGTTTCATCCTATGATATTCACGATAACTACGAGGAGCTCGTTACCAGTGATATAGCTATTATGACACTTGTGGAATCACTGAAGTTGGATGGCATTCGAATGGCAGCTATTGAGGTGCGTGGAACTGATTATGTGGGCGGAGGCATACCTGTCACCTTGACTGGTTGGGGTCTACGGTTGCCCATTCCCTTACCTTTTCTGCCACCGGAGTTGGACAATATAAATTACCCAACCATATTGCAAACGGTGACCTACCACACCATTACCAACGAGGAATGCACAAATAGTGGAATGGACGATCTCACAGCAACGGAAATTTGCGCACGCGGCGCTATACTTACGGGTGCTTGTTCAGTGAGTGGCTTTAATTGTATTTTTTAAAAGAAATATATATTATATAACTATTTTTATAGGGTGACTCTGGTGGACCACTAGTGATGAGAACAAGTTCCGGTTTGCATCAAGTCGGTGTTGTCTCTTACGGGCTGTTTGTTTGCGGAGTCTTCACTGTCATTCCGGATGTGTACACTAGGGTATCCATATTTGATGACTGGATACAGGCGCGTATGCTTTAACTAGGCTTTAGTCTTAGGCATAAATACATATGTACATATTATAAAAAAGTATTTGCGCTTTTATTTCATATGTCGGCACGTTTACCATACTTACATATTTCTATCTTTAACCAGAAATTTTCAGTATGAATTACTACGCCCCAATGTAGTTATCCTTGTAATAAACTTAAATTATGAATCCATTGAAAGTATGACATTTTTTCCACTTTTCAGCAAAAAGTCATGGCCATACCATTTCAAGGGCATGCGATTTAAAAACTGCTCATTCTGCCTTCTCCACCCAGCAGCTTTGGCGCGCTCTCAGACAAAACTTGAGGGTTGTAATGTGCTTGCGGACAATTTAATAATACGGTTCATAAAATAAGTCGACCGGATTTTTATTACATCGCATATGAATATACTTTGCTACCGGCATGTCATAAATAGAGACGAAGGAAAGCAGTAAATTTCTTTAAAACATATGTATGTTTGTCGCTGTATGTTTTCCACATAACTTAAATAGGCAGTTGGGCTAGCAAAAATACTATACGCAATGATTTTTTTTTTTATAATGAGTTTTGAGGCCCACAATATATTATATTATTTACTAACAAAATTTATTATAAAATCCAATTTTTTATTAAACAAAAAATTAAAAAACTTCAAGTTTTCAGCCTTCTGCAGGAACTTCAGTTTCATTTGCAGCCACTTCAGCTGCGGGCTGCTCCTCAACTGCGGGGCCGTTGTCTGGAGCAGCTTCAGAATGTTCGGGCTCCTGTGAAATTGGTTCTGGTTCTAACTCCAATGTAGGTTCCGGTTCTGCCCCAGGCTCGGACTCACGAGTAGGCTCATGTTCTAGTTCGGCTTCGGGTTCAGGTTCTTGTGTAACTTCTGGGATGACTTCGGCAAGTGGCTGAGAAGGTTGAGTTGCTTCTAAAGGCACATCCTCGCCCTATCAATATTATTTTGACGTAAAACTAAATTCTGTCAGTTGTAATGGTAACATTTCTTACTATTATATGCTCCGGAGGTTCTGCAATATCTTCGCCCGGTATATCGGCAGCAGTCTGAAATAGTCTATAATCTTAGTATATCTATATACAAGGAGAAATGAAAGGTTACATACAACTTTAATTTCAGAACCGGGCTCACAAACCTCACCGCCCTATAAAGAGAACTTTAACGTTTAGTTATAATTTCGTTTTGGGACTACATTGATTACCTTGTCGATTGATTTATTAGACTCCAAAGAAGACAAGTGACGACGAAAAGCTTTTTGAATAGTAATCGCAGCTTGAGTTCTTAAATCTAGGTCTTCGTCGTCCAGCTAATAGTAGATAAAGATATAAAGATCAGATTTAAATTAGATTTCCAATCTGGTATTATTATTCCCACCTCTTCTTGAGAAACTTCTTTAGGCAGTGGCTTGCCTAAATTTCTTCGTACTCTATACCCCCTGAAATTTGCCTAAAATATACAAAAAGTATTAAATATTCCAACTTGACATTTCATCACTGCGTATTGTAACCTGAATTTTCGTTGCAGCCAATTTTGCCTTCTCTTCTTCCTGTCGTTTATGCTCACGTTCTTTGAAATATTGATATAGTTCTTCGGTGCCTTCAAAGTCCTTGATAAATAAAATATGTCAATTTAAAAATAGAAGATGTTTTTAGTCTTCACGTACCTCATGTGCCTTCATGTATGCATCCACAAAGCGTCGATAAGCAGCTTCGATCATTGGTTTGGAGATTTTCAATTCCTGCTCAGTGAACTTGCAGCGCTCTATCATTGCATCGAGCATATCCCTCTCTTCGAAACGCACAACTTCAATATCCTTTCGCTGTTCACAACGCATTCTGCTCAGAAAGCGTCGGAAGCATTCTTCCATATGCATTGCCATTTCTTGGGCCTTTTCCTTACTGATATCGCAAACGCACATATCCGCAATGATTTCATCCACCACCGCTAATGCGCGATCGATAATGCCTTTGGCCACTGTAATCATATTAAAAATTTTTCTTTTTTTTGTTGCTATATAATATCAGACAAACAATAGTTATTTAGTACCTCTGGCTTTTTCTCGTGTTACAATTACTGAATGCAAGTAGTCGATAATGAATTGGCACAGGCATTCCGTTGTTGGCTGACAACGCAATACTTCCCGTGTGATATCTGACAAGAGTTCCGGGAGTCCCTGGGGTACATTTATCATTTGATTGCGAACTTTTCCCCGTTGAATAAGATAATTCATTATGTATTTTTGCTGATTCCTTTTTACTTTGTGAAAATTCTACAAAAATTAAAACAAAATGGATACTTATCGGTTTATCAATTTTATGTGGAAAACATCATATATTTTTACTTTTTGGTGAAAAGACAATTTTCCATTTCATACCAATTTTTTTATTTAATCAATTTAATCATTTTAGACAGATTTGTTGTTTTTCATTTGTCAAGAGTTTCTAATAATTGTATGCCCAGAAATTGAAAACTATTTGCATGATAGACTGAAGGGGCAGACAAAACAAATGGTATTTTTTTTATAATTGTGCTTGCAAATAAAATGTAAATGGTAACTCCACCGTTATTTCCGAGTAATTTTAAACTTTTATTAAGGTAAATCAAAATCATGGTATTATGTATAGTTCAGTGCTGTATGAACCGAATTTTGCTACTTCTACTATAAATAATATACCAGTTTAGTTTAATTAAGATATATTTCATGTTAGAAAATATAGACAATACAAAATCAGACAAGAGGACGGAAGGACGGAAGGAATTTAATGAAATAAATACGTTATAGCAATGTTTTGCCGTTGATGAAGCAGTTCGCATTGTTGCCAGATTCTTAATAATTAAAATATCAGTAGCAATAGATTTTATAACTCATGTGCACGTTTTTAGTGAATGCCCACTCCAAATATTCTAACTAAACCGATGTTCTGTATAAAACTGTTTTAATAAATCTAAATATTAAATTTTATTTAGTTATACATTAGTAACATGATTTATTAATTTATTTCGATTAATCTGCTCTCTCAAATTATTTAGTAAACTGATTTGACGAAAAGATTCTATTAATTTTTATACAATATTTTTTTCTCTCTTAAATCTCTCACTTACAAAGTGACGGCGCCCTATTTTTGCTAACCGTCGCTAGATGTGGCTGTAATCAAACAGCTGTTACCGACGTGTCAAAGTTTTGTTTTCATATTTATTTCAGATTTTTCAATAGTATATTCTGTGAAAATATTCGTAAAGTTTTTGCCGGCATAATGGATGCCGCCAATTTATTGAGTGTAGACGTAGACACTTTGTTCGAGCACCACAGTGTTCCAGAAATCGATATCGTTCATAAAAAAATCCAGTCGGTTGTCGAAAACAAACGGGAGGAGCTACGCTTAATGGTCGGGTACGTTTTTACGAATTTTACGAATATAAAAAACAAAATATATTTATTTGAAAAATTTTCAACAGCGAACGATATCGTGATTTACTACAGGCTGCAGATACTATTGTGGCTATGAAAGATACATCACAGAGACTCATAGAGCAAGTGGACTCAATTACCATGAATTGCCATAATCTTAACGATCAGCAGTTATTGGGATTTAAGATTAGCGAACCAGAAGATTTACTACGCAATCGCATTGCTAATAAGCAACTAAATAACTACTTTAGTACGATGCTACAGATCAAACTTTTGACGACTTTACCTGAATTAATTTGGACTCATATTGATAATGACCGATTTTATAGCGCCAGTGAATTGTTTATTTTCAGTAGACATGTCAGTACTGGCTTACAGTTAGATGCGAGTAATATGTTAATGCAACATCTACCTGTTGCAAAAAAACAATGGGAAATTTTAAAGCCCTTCAATATGACGATAAAAATGCATGTACTGGCAACCTTAGAGAAGGAAGATTTGAATGTCAATGTGGCTACAGATTGTTTGCTTAGTTTGTTGATACTGGAAAAGAATTCATTGAATAGTGTTTTGAAAACGTTTCTAAATTTACGGTGCAAAACTTTCTTAAATTGCTTAAGCAATGATAAAAAACGGTCTATTGAAGAGCGGGGACGAGTACAAAATATAATATTAGCGAGCTTACGCATATTAAACAACACAATTGATCTTATAGAAAAATGCTTTTTAGGTTTGTTGCTTATGCTATGTACCACATACATGTATATGTATGTAAAATATTTTCTTAACTTCCAGAAAATGGTTTACTACTGCAAAAGCTACATGAGCACAACGACGTAAATGCATCGCCAATAATAACATTAGTTGAGCAAGTTAATATAGTTCATTCATATTTGCTGCCGGAGATCATTTCGAATTTCCGTGTTACAATCGAAACACAGCCTCTTGATGATGTACAAGTGCGCGAATCCCTTGAACAATGGATCATTGATATCAGACGCATTGCGGCTACGCAACTCAAGCAACTTTTTGATTACGTTTCGGCAATGAGTACAATCAAAGAAATAAAAACAGAAGCTAACTCTTACAAAAATTATTTCAAATTTGATCAAGTTATCAAAAGGATTCAACTCACGCAAACACTGGATTTTTTCGAACAGAAATATATACCACTCATTAATCAGCGAATTCACGACATTATCCACGATAATTGGGCAAAAGCAATACATACAACATTTGAATCATTGGAACAATCATTAACAGATATCAACACGAGTGCAATGGATATTTGGTCTGAAAATATTATTGATCTTCCATCAAGTTTGGAAGTAGCTTTAAGTGATGATAATAAAATGAAAAAGTTGCTAATGAAAACAAAAGGATACGACAGCGACATAATAACAATCTGCGCTGAATTCGATGAACAACTGAAAAGTATCATATCGGAAATGAACGTTCTTCTTGAAGAGCAAGCAACACGTGCAGAAGATAAGCTTTCATTGATTGTTTTTTTGAGAGAGACTTCTGAAGCACAACTAACACATTTTCTAAGTCGCGTTAAAAGCCTTCACTTAGTTCCGACGCAGCGTAGTGAACTTTTATTTGTAGCACGTTGCTTTGCAGCTCTCCTTGAACTCTGTCCCAATTTGAAAGTGTGCTTTTGTCAAAGAGGAAATTGGCGTCAGTGGGTGGGAAATGTTACCGCAAATAGTATTGAACATTGGAATAGAGTGTGTATGTTAATTGAAGAAGAAACATTAAATTTTTGGCAACAAATTGTTAAAGGAATTTTAGAAGAGAGCAATTGCGAAAATAAGCTTCCAAGTTCTATTACAAATGAAAACATTCTGGAAGAATTTGCTGTAAGTATGATAATAATTTAAGATTAGACATGAATACTGCTATTTAATTACATTTTAATTGTTTATAGAACTGGGAAACTGTTGAAATTGAGCAAAAAGATGAGTCAGATTCCACCATACATTCTACCTTTCGCATTCCCAACCAACCACGTATTTCACTGCAATCGTATCTTTTTACATTAGTACACACATTAAATTCGAATGTACCACAAACTTTACCTACGAAAGTACTTCATTACTCCAACCTAAATATGTTGTCACAAATCCTGCAGCAGTATCAAAGAATCCTAACCGATAATATAACAAGCAACCAAAATATCGCATTACAACTGTATTTCGATTTAAAATTTTTGCAAACTATATTTGCCGTTACCAGAGATGACAAACAATTGCATGATCAATTCGCAGCTTTGCAAAGCACATGCAAGAACTTCATTGATCCATTTGATTTCGAATTATTTGCTGAACCTATAACAACTAATGTCAAAAGATCGATAGCTCGGTTCCATTGTCAGTTTGGAGTGTTGACCCCATCTTTCCCAGCACACATGGCACCTAAAGCATCTGCGATTTTGATACATGAGAAAGATCCCAATGTTTTGTGTTTAAGTTCAATTGGCTCATCATCTGCATGGTTTCCGCTGCTACCGATTGTAACTCCAGCATCCGTCGAATATTCGGGGCGTAAAAACACTATTGTGAACAATGAAAAGGTAAATCGCATATTATATTTTACTAAACGTATTTATAGCAGTTACAGTATATATTATACGTTCAAATTTTCTTCAAGAATATTTTCTTTGATTTGTAGCTAAAACCGTGTAAGCTAAATCTATTTTGGGACCGATAAGTATATTTCTTAATTTAACTTGTTGTTAGCTTTGTTTACTGCAATTAAAATCTACAATTGCATAAAATTTAATGCAATAAGGCATCAAAACGAAATTGAAAATACTGATTGTATTTTATTAAAAAAATTTACTACCAAAATCCCTAAATGTTCTGATTGGCTACGTTTGCACCCAATTGGCATAATATCATATTTTGCCACTGAACTAATGTCAATACTTATTTGTTGGAGTTTCATTTTGCTTGAATTAGTTTTGCGAGTTTAAATGCTTGATACCTTAACCTTATCCGTTATAATGTTCGATATAAACTATGCAAGTACTAAATTTGACTTAACCACTTCTTCATGCTTATGTCTTGTTCTTCTTGAATTTCTCCCCTTTCAGCCTGCTTCAGCAACAGCACATAAAGCGAGTTCGTCAACTGCAACTGTGACGAATGCAGGAGGGAAAGTTAAGTTCGATTCCAAAACTAAATCAGGAGCTGCCTCTTTCTTTGGGGCAATGTCACAAGATTGGTTTCGTTAGTTAAGAGAGCTGTGCTAGCAACTCGGACAACTTTTACGCTTTCAAGCACATTTCTTATTTAAAACAATAGAACATTATGAATGAATTTAATTATAATTTATTATAAAAAAAATCAACAAGCTTAGCATAAGATCTTGTATTTATTTTAAGTAAACGTCTCTTGAATTTTAGAGTGTAATTAAGCTATAATTTCATTTATTCATTTTACACAACTCTTGATTAATCGATATCACGCTGAGTTATGAGAAAAACTGCTCGAAACGCGTACATATCCACGAATTTGGCATTTTTTTTAATGGCAGTTGAAATAAAGTTTAGACTATATTATGTAACTGGATACTGGTTAGATGAAGGTTAAATATTCAGTCGCAGTGATTTAGAGGACGCTATAATTTTCAGAACGTTAAAAATTTTAGAGCCAGAAAAATATACTAAAATTTTATTTTAAAAGTTTGTTCTAAGTTTTTATGGGAATCTATAGAAAATTTACTATAAAATACTATAATACAATACAATTTATTATAACGCTTTTATTAGCTTCACCTGAACGTTTGTATGTAAACCTACTACATACTATATTTGTTTGCATATTAGTAACTGTGTTTATTTTAGTAGCACTGAAACTGAATCGCACAGTGACAAAAGAACTAACAGTTTGAAAGGCTCCGAAAAATAACAAGAGACAAAATGCCCCTCAAACTATGCAGCTAAAAGCATCAACTAGCTGTCATTTGAATAACAAATTTGCTCAAACTTTAAGCTTTAAAGAAAGTCAGAACACCACGTGTGACTAAATAATAAGTATAGTTTAAAAAATTTTAAAAAAGGCAGCATTTCAAACTAAGAAGTGAAAAATAATTCTTAATATAAACTGACAGAAATTTTGAACGGAAAAGACTTATTGTAAGAAAACCGTTTAAAGCTTTGCGCCATATTTTGCGTATATCGAGCTTATCACACTTTTCTCAATGAGTAGGTAGAGTGGCTGTCTAACGACGCACCTAGGACAATAGGGGGCCCATTGTGAAAATGAAGTAGTCTCCAAGTTTTCTATAGAGTTTTGTGCCATTAAAAAAAAAAAATTTATTTTTATTTTGAATCATCTAATTTTTTTTAAAAATTTGTTGAGGCTCTGCATTAAGTTTTTTCTATTAACTATGAGTTACTATCGAAAAAACATACCGATGCAGAATATCGTAAAGCAGAAGCAGAAAAATACAAAAAAAAACCAAATTTTACTGAAACAAATCCCACAAATATCTAATTTTATGACAAACTCAACAAAATTTATCAGTAATGATAAGTTGTGAATCAGGTTCAACTGCCGTAAGTATTTTGTTGCAATTGTAAATAATATTTTCATTGAACATATTGTTTAAATTTAATTAATCAGCACAAGTTATCGTAGAAAGGCCGTCAGCTTTTCCTCCATCCGGGGGGAATGCCAGGGAAACATAGTCAAGAACTGATATTTTACATCAAGTAGTGATCTCTTTCGTTGGAATTAACACGAGGAAACTCATGATTTTATAACTATGAACGGTGTACCACAAAATTAAGTTACGGATTTAAAAAATTCTAGAAATGTTTATAAAGGTGGACGTAAGAGTTCTTAACAAAATCTCTACGAAAATTTTAATGTTTTTTTACAATTTATCTGAAATAAAAACGAAACAATAAAAAGATCTTACCAATAAATTAGACGAAAAGTATCCTGATGATTTAAAAGAGACATTAGGGAATGCATGTATTCATTTACAAGATCAGCTCAAAGATTTCCTGCCAACAAGGGAACAAGTACGTTCCGCAAATATTTGCATTCTCAAAATCTTCGAGATGTTTATCAGAATGCAGACAATGCTCTACGTATGTTTTTGAGTATTCCCGCTACGAACTGTTCAGACGAAACATTTATGTCCACCTTAAAAAAGGTTTAAAAAAGTATACGCACAAGTATGGGCCAAGTTAGGCTAAATGCTTTGGCATTACTGTCTATTGTTGAGCTTCAAGTTCAAGAAATGGATAACGATGAAATAGTTGATATTTCTGCACGAACAAGAAAAAGGCTTATTATTATTTTATTGTAAAAGTTTAATAAATATTTCTTTGTAATATTATTAAACAATAATTATAATAAATATTATATTTCAAAAAAAAAAAGAAATTATATTTTAAATTAAAATGTAAAGTATTTTGTTGATCAAAATGGGCGGCGTATCGGGCCTGGACTAGCGCGGCAGTGAGCCTAAGTTCAGTCGTATTATCATGAAAGGTCTTTTGATTGTTTACTTTCTGTCAATTAGCGATTTTCCTTTTTACGATCTATTGTGCTTTAATGTATAAATCGTTCGATTCTCGTCTCTTTATATTGAACTAATGTTTTTGTAGTATCATAGTATGCAACCATCCATATTAATCGATATTACTTTCAAATTTGCGGGCCCGTTCCAAAACTAAATACTGGCTACGGGCTTGTCTGAGGTACATGTGGGCATGTAGGATGTCTCTTTTTTGTTTGTCTGTTTGCTAAATGCAAACTTTAACTAATTTTATTGACAAAACTGTTTTTTTATACAACACAGTTTTTAATATATATAGTTTGGGAAGTGAACACCTAATTGTTCGTTGTTACTTCTTGTTTCCTTTTTTTCCTCCTCCACTTCCGCCTACCTTCTGCTCTTGCACCTTTTTACCACCAGGTTTTTCCGCACCCGCACCACCCTTATTTTTGTTCCCGCTCTTTTCACCAACACCACCACTTTTTTTCTGAAAATAAAGAGGAAAATAATAAACGGTAAGCCAAATTTCTCAATCAATAAATATTTATGGATAAACAAATTTCTTTAAGTTAAGTCGTCTTAATCATCAACCTCTGTCTAAATCTGTATGCGTCAAAAATGTGTGTTCCAAGTATGTAATTCGTTCGACTCAAAAGTTTCAAAGAAAGTGAATGCGAGAATACAGCGTTTATCAAAATTACAAACGAACAAAAAACGTAAACTTCGGCAGCACCGAAGCTAAAATACTCTTGACAGCAGCATTTTTTATAACATAAAAGCGTATAAAAAGATCTTTATCTTGAACGATCAGTTTGAATGGCAGCTATGTGCTATAGTAGGCCGATCTGAACAATTTCTTTGGACATTGCATTATTGCCTTAAATCATAATCCATGCCAAATTTCGTAAAGATACTTCATTAAATAAAAATGTTGCTCATACAAGCACTTGATTCCGATTGTGCAGTTTGTATGACAGCTATATGCTATAGTGGTCCGTTATCTTCGGACGTGTGCAAAATGTTAGGCCGATATCTTCAAAACTGAGACACTAGTTCGCAGACGGAAGTACGGATATGGCTAATTCTACTCAGCGCGTCTCGCTGATTATTAGTATACGAGTATACCTATACTTTATAGAGTCTCCGAAGATTCCTTCTGCGTGTTAAAAATTTCGCGGCAAACTTTATATACCATGTTCAGGGTATAAAAAGCAAATAATAATTTCCCTTTTATGTGCGGCGTCTGAAAATTTAACTAAGTTCAATAAATCATTAGAGTATTAATTAGATTACAAAACAATATGAAAATTTATATGTATTGATCTCTATATATGTCTATATAATATTTTTTAATGTATGTCTAGTTTTAAAAAAATATGAAACAGCTTTCGAAAAATCTATGTATACCATATACATATGTAGTTCATACATTATATATTTATAATATATATTTTTTGTGTTCAATATATTGGTCTACTTACAATTACAATAAATATTTCGCTTGCATAACACAAATTTTGCTTACATTTCCACCATCACCGCCACTGTTATCGCCGCCACCGCCGCCGCCACCCCCTTTACCTGCTCCACTCCCTCCTTTATTTTTCCCCATGACTACTACTTCTTTTTTATCAAAAACGTGTTTAAAAATTAAGAAAGATTGCCCTGCGGTAGATAAAATCCGGTTGTATCAACGCCACAGCAACGAACCCGAAACTAAAGCAAAAATGTAATTAGCAAAATTTTCAAAACTATTTTCAAGTGCAGGTGCCCTACGAATAACGTAGAAGAAACAAACAACTGCAACCTGCCAAAGAGTAAATGCATAGGAAAAGGCTAAGGTCTGGCGAAACCAAATGTGCTAGACACATAGTCTAACCTAGTTTTCACAACAAAACAAAATAGTTAACTAATGATTGAAATATAATAGCTATTATTATTAAATAAAGTCAAAGATATGAGCCGAATTTAATATTTTCCGTAATATATTTATTATACTTATTCATATAGAACAACTGTTAAATAAGCATAATCATAGCGTCTTATGAAATATATTGCACCCGGGTACAAAAAGCGATGCAAAATAGCAAAAGTAAAATAAGTGCATATATGCCATCCATGAGGAAATAAACGATAATCGTTGTTGTATGTGACCTTGCCTTGTGTTTTGATGAAATTTTTGTTGTGGCTACTCATGAGTGACACAGAAAGAATGCATAAAAGCAAGAACGATACAATTAAGTACGTTGACCATAGCATTATCTCACCCTGATTCAAAACGAAAGAGGCAAGCCTAGTCGGTACGGCAAGCAAAGTGGTACCCATGTTCACACTAATACTAATATATAGTATAGTAATATAACACTGGGAAACAGTAGTTTTGTTAGTTTCTTCGTTTTCCCCGATTTCGTATGAGTTTGCCACGCTGATTCCAAATCCGTAGTCAGTTTTTCTCCAGCAGCTCTTTCGAAATATGAGTATATTGCATTTTTAGCCAAAAATAATATATTATTAACATGAAAAAAAATTTCTTTTATATGTATTTTTTTATCAGTCTTGTTTTGAATGCTCCAGCAGTAATCAGCCATCATATTTGCCTTCAAACCACACTGATATCGCTTTTCCTTAGTGCGAATGTCTTAATGAAAGCGTTATTCTTGTTCTTCGCTTAAGTTGCCTCAATTTTCTGGAAAGCAAATTTACCATTTTAAGATCGACGCATATCAGCCAGCTATGTTCTATGTATTTTATTCCCAAAGTAGTGCAAAGAGGCCTTTTTTTTTAATAGAATCAGAGGCATTTAAACGGCATTCTTTAAACATATACGGTAGTTACCACAAACTGCACAAAAACTATTCGAAACATTTAAATAAGTTCTTTTTAATTTTTAACCAAAAATTAATTCAAGCTAGTCGCGTAACGCTATTTTATGCAGTACCGGTATCACTAAAACTCGATTTTTAATTATATTATTTTATCTGTGCTGCAATTCCACGCAGTCACTTGCACTGTCAAGTTGCAAGAAGTGCCATATTGGTACATTACTCCATCATATCGACTTTTCATTTCTGAAGTCACAGCCAATAAATTCTTAAGTAGCGCATTCAAGAGTGCATAAAAGCTGGAGGAGACAATAAACATATAATTCAATTTGGGCTTCCATTTTACCATTGATAAGTAGATTATTGTAGTGAGTTTAATATATATTATTTTATTTTCGTATAGCTTAAAGTTAATTATTTAGAGTTTGGTTTGTAAAACCAAAAAATATTGTAGATAAGCAATAAGAATATAGCATATACTAAAAAAGAGTAAAATAACCATATAATAAATATATAAACTTTCATGCTGCAACATTATAAGGCAGGTATATGTGTAACTTTATATAAGTGTTAAACGGCAACCAAAGCTAGAATGAACAGCTGACAGAGCCAGCGGCTTCAGCTGTTACATTTGTATTACGTGGAATTATTACTATATCTTACTACGACTGCTTTTATTTTTCGCGCCACAGTCACCATTTCTGAAAACTGAAAATTGCTATAAGCGACGCAATTTTTTATTGACTGCTTATCTCTTAATACCACTTTAAACACTTTTCCACGAATATCAGCGACTTCCTCTGCTTAATTGCCTGCAGAGCAGTTGCCGCTCTCCAGCAGTTGGTAAACATTTTTCTACATGGACACGAATAAACGGCCGAAAGCTTGGACATGCGTGTAAGTAAATAATACATGCAATCATATAAATTACACTACAACGAGGAGAGAGTACTCCAAAATTAGCCAGCATTCATTTAATTTGTAGAGTACTCCAATTGTTCCGGTTATACATAGTTATAACCTTTGATGTTGATGTTGTTACAACACGCCACAAAATGTTTACCAATAAGTGGTTTAAGTGACTGACAACACTTCGCCACTTGCTGCGCTTGTCTATGACAGCTAAGCAGCATTGCCTTTAAGTTACGACCTTTGTATCTGCTAGTGACCTGAAAATCGCTGCAAGAGTGTATAATTCACTTTAATGAATATATATGTATTATATGTATAAGGCACTTTAATGAATTTTCAGCGCGCATTACTTCTCTTAGTCTCCGTTATTTAATAACGCACAAATATAATTAACTTAAACTTTAACATTTAATTTGCAACGAATACTTGTTACAGTTGCTAATGCGCATAGTATAGTAGAGCGTGGTAGAAAAATAGAAACTGCTAGGAACATTTTAATGCAATGCAGTATTTGTTTATTATGTGCTTAGTGCTGTTTTACTTCTTCCATATTTATATATGAATTATCTACAAATTATTCATTAATTGCTGGCGAAAGGCTCTTAAAAGGGTCCTCCAACGGTGGTAACAGCTGCTTCAAGTTTGCAAGCTCAACTACTTTATACGGAACAAGTAAGGAAGTTCTAAATTCGGGCCAACATTTTATACCCTCGCAACTTGCAAGGATCAAAGCAGGCAAGATAACTCCAGATGTTAGGAAATTTTTATATAAAAATATTTTTCGAAACAATTCAACATTCATTATTCGATGAAATTGTAAATAGATTACAATCAAATTTGGTATTTTATTTAGTTATATTATAGATCATAGATTCAGTTAGTTTTATTACTATATTTTACTTTACGTCAACTAAAATTGTATTAAAATCATCTTCAAATGAGTTATATAAACTCAACTAAAGATGCTGAATTTAATATAATAAGTTGATGTGAAAATGTCAACCAGAGGATCGCAATTCATTATTTTAGTGATGTAAGGTTTGGACTAATGTCTAGACCACTTTCATGCATATTCCTACACAATTTTTAAAAAAAATTGTTTATTTAATTTTATTAAAGTATAACACATTTTGTCAGGTGCAAAATCGGAAATTATTATACAGATTATATTGGGGAGAGAGAAAGGGATGGGCTAATTGAGTTAATTTTAATATTGCTGAGGTATACTTGAGATCATATTTTCAAGCAATTTTATAAATATATATCTCACACATTGACCGATATTTTCGGTAAAAATTCAACTATAGGCAGTGGTGTCCACATATTTGGTACCTAGGAGCCTGACCAGTTTTGGTTCGACTTGAACAATTTTTGGTCATATGGTGGCACACTTTATAGGGACTATTCGTTTATCCCGTTATATTAATTAGTGCTTTATTTGCATACTGGAATGTGAAAAAATTGATGGGAATGTTATGTTATGAATTTGGTGAAATCGGTCGAGCAGGTCCCGAGATATGTGATTGCTAAAAGTGGGCGGTGCCACAATATGAAAATATTTGCTCTCTTTTCAAGATTTTCAAAGTACAGGTGCCCCTTTTTCTGTACTATTCGCCCTTACTTTTTTTGCCAAGAAACATGTGTACCAAGTTTCATCAAGATATCTTAATTTTTACTCAAGTTACACCATGCACAGACAGACGCACGGACGGACAGACATCCGGATTTCAACTCGTCTCGTCATCGTGATCATTTATATATATATACTTATATATATAACCCTATATCTATCTGGATTAACAACCGTTAGTTAAACAAAACTTGTATAGGTACTCTGTAGCAACATGTTGCAAGAGTATAAAAATATTCGCTTAGTATTTTTTCACTCCGCGTTTTTCTCTCTTTGCTTTCTTAAAAAGTTAATATTCGCAGTATGAAGTAGCTTACAAAATATTAGCATTGCTGACGGCGTGAACACGGCTGAACATGTGTTGCCACGAATTGTTGATATTTCTTTTGTTTCGTTTTTATTCCCAAAGAAATTTAATGTATTTTTAACGTAGTTCTGCATGCTAGTGATTTGCAATGAAACCTTGCTTATTCATGTTCGAATCTATAAAAACCAAAACGATTTTAAATTATATTTTTTTTTTTTAAAGTTAAGCTTGCAATGTCGCTTACGCTTTTTTGACTGCCAGTACGCGACCTTTCAGTTCAGAAATGTAATATAATCATGCCATGTTGTTTTAGTTTCGCATTCAAGACATCTTTTTGTCATCCTTCAAGATATTATCCCTTTCAATTCTATAATTTTCCAATGAATTTAAAACGAAATGAACTAAAACCGTTATGCATTGACAAGCACCCTATATTTCATTTAAATTTTGTTTATCGAGCAAGAAATAGGAAGTTATATAAATACATATGCCCAAAGAAAAACGATATTTATATGATTGTATAAGTTGTAATGCCATGCTTTGTGAATGCATTTGGTCTCTTATAAAGCTATACACATAATGTATGTAGAATGAAAATGCGTACATGCATACATATAAGCAAAATAATGTGCTCTTGTTTGTTCACACAACATACTTTAAAGTCCATTAGTGAATCGAAATGGCAAATTATTTTGGCGTCTGACATGTGTGAACGAAGGAGTGGACATTTTAAGGAAAAGTAAACATGATGAAGCATGCTAAGGAAAATAAGTCATCAAGCAAAGAATAACAGAATGCAATAAGCGTTAAGGAGAAAGTGGTAAGAGAAGAAACTAATGTAAAAGTTACGAAACGAAGGGCTCTTAAAAGCATTTGAACAGAAGCAATTGTCATATAGTATATGTGCATTTTTAAAATTTAATCTAAAAAAAAATAATAAGAAAAAACGAAGCGAAGAGTCCAAGGTAGTTTAATCACATGATAATGCGCTTAACCAAGTTTTATAGAAGAAAGGAGCAGCATGCTACAAAACATAAAGCAAATGTAGTGAAATGCATGGAGCCTGAAAGTTTTCCACTTTGTGTGAAACTTAAAATGCACACTGCTATATACATATGTATGTATGTATGTAAGTATGTGCATGCATATAA